CTGTCCCATGAACTCCCCGAAGACCCACCAAAAGCTGCTACAGTGATCGCGGTCGGGATGAAAGCCGGAGTCCAGGTGCACGCGTCTTGGTTGTAGTTCCCTGCAGCTACCACCACGATCACGCCATCGGCGACCAATGCGTCCGTCGAGGCTTGCCACGGCAAATCATTCCAGCCTGGCCCGACCTGGATACTTTCACTGAGAACTGCTGGCCTGTTCCCACTCGCCAGAATCCACTGCTCGGCTAGAACCATCCATGTTGTCCAGCCAGAGCCAGCATTGTTCAGGACCTTCGCTGACCAAATAGTAGCGCCATCCGCGACGCCATATGACGAGGACCCCACCGTGCCTGCGCAGTGGCTGCCGTGCCCGTGTACGTCGTCAGCGCACGTTGTGCTGGTGGGCGAGCACACTGCGAGAGTGCCTGGATAAGTTCCCGAGGCGGCCACGTCCACTGCGGCGAAAGCCCGGCCGCCGAACTCGTTGTGGGTTATGCGAATGCCTGTGTCCAACACGTACACATGCACCCCCACGCCCCGCCCCCGGACCGTGTCCGCATCGAGGTACTGGATCCCATATGGGTAGGTCCGTCGCTCGGATTGTCTGTCGTTCGCATTTTCGAGCGGGGGGTCGTCGACCATCTTCATGAACTGGTCCTCTTGGACAGACTCCACAAGGCCCGCGTACTTGTCCAACAACGCCCTGAGACCATCTTCTGTCAGACTTCCAAATACAAATGGCAGCTCCCCTCTATCTGGATGCGTCTGCAACCCGTTCGAAAACTCTTGGCTAATCTGCTTCAACTCCGCATCCGTAATACCGCGCTGCAGCATCAACATCCACGGGCGCTCCGCGTCGGGGTCGGCATCTTCCGCGAGCCGAGTGTAGACGGTCACGCCGGCATACGTGAAGAAGTCTTGGTTGACTGTCTTTGGAGTGGGGGCTAGCCCAAAAGTCGGCGATGGCGTAGGATATGGCGTAGGGTTGGGTGTGATGACCGGCTCGAAGGGAACCTTTGGAGTGGGGGCTAGCCCAAAAGTCGGCGATGGCGTAGGATATGGCGTAGGGTTGGGTGTAAGGACCGGCTCGAAGGGAATCTTTGGAGTGGGGGCTAGCCCAAACGTCGGTGATGGCGTAGGATATGGCGTAGGGTTGGGTGTGAGGACCGGCTCGAAGGGAACCTTTGGAGTGGGGGCTAGCCCAAAAGTCGGCGATGGCGTAGGATATGGCGTAGGGTTGGGCGTCGGGACTGTAGGGGAGGGCGTAGGGGAGAGCGTAGATAGGGGCGTTGGCGAGGCTGTCGGCGCGTCAGTAGGACACAGGCACTCCGGATAGTAGCTGCTGTAGGCAGGGGCGAGTATAGTAGGCCAATACGGCACTGGCTGCGTCGGTACCCCCGCCGTGTACTGGCACTTGTCAAACAAAGAACTCAACGGAGGAGACCCGTCATTGCAGGTGCACTTCACCTGAGCGAGAAATAGCGATACACAGCGTCATGGAGTGGGGGGAGGTGGGGAACCGTCGTCGTTAGGCACCCTCCCCGCAACGACGGACGGCACATCCCGCCCCCCACACACAAACGTGGCGTATCGTCATCCCTCGCCCATTCGCCCGGCACTCGTTCGCCAGGGGGCACCACTCGCAGCCCGGAGACACCGACCCTGCAGTGGCACAGTCGGCCTGGCTGTTCCCTGGGCAGTCGGAGAAGATCTGGATGTGCGGGCAGACGTGGCACTCAGTGGGCGAGGGCGTCGGCAAGGGCGTCGGCGAGGGCGTGGGCGGGGGCGTCGGCAAGGCCGTCGGCGCGGCGGTGGGGCACAGGCACTCCGGGTAGTAGCTGCTGTAGGACGGGGCGAGCACGGGAGGCCAGAGCGTCACGGCCTCGGGGGGGAAATCTCAAAAAGGGCACCTTTGAGTCCAGCCCAGTGGCTGAGACGGCTCATGTCTGGAGAAGCGCCCATGACCGTCGTCGACTCGGCCCGGACACTTCATTCGCCAAGACGAAAAAGACGTGCCAACTCGACCCCGAGACTTCGTCCGCTACGACGAAAGCAATCATCCATTATGCTCCAACATGTCGCTCGTCAAGACCAGCCGCCCGCGATAGACTCAAGGGTACCTAGGTTCCCCGACTGCGCCTATCGCGCCCGGCGGTGCGAGACGCGCGGGCATCTTCGCGCCCTCGCGCCCTCGCGCCGCCCACCCCTGGGGAAGGGCAGCTCTCCAACCCGAGCCTGGATACGCGCTGCGCGCTCCTCCTTTACGCCCCCCGGGCGAGGGGCAATCCAGCGGTGGCGACGAAGGGCTCCCGGGAGGCCCACGAGGGCCGCAACGAGGGAAGGGCGGCGGTACACGGGCACCCGCTCCTCCCCGTGATGCCTGCGTCGGCACGCCCGCCGAGTAGGCGCAGTCCTGGAACAGGGAGCTCGCTGGCGGGGAGGCGTCGTGGCACGTGCACTTCACGCGGCACTCGCCGACCAAGGGGCACCACTCGCAGCCGGGAGATGCGCCAGCTCCATTACTGGGAGCGCAGGGCAGGGCGGGGCTTTGGCTTGTGAGAACTACGCTGTGCCCAGGCCCCCTCGCGCCGTGACAAATTCATGGCGTGAGGTGGTTCGCCGTTTTCGGCCCCCCCCCACCTCACATGGAGTGAGGTTGTTCGCCGTTGTCGGGCCCCTCGCAGGGCCTCAGAAACTCGGAAAAGACCTGATCGGGTGTAACACGGGTCACCGGAAATTTGTCGTGACCTCTGGGGGGCCACGTTATGAAAGAACCAGCACGTTAGGAGTCTGGGCATTTTGCTCCCGACCCTCCTGTCCCCCCCCACCACCCCACATGGCGCGAGGTGGTTCGCCGTTTTCGGGCCCATCGCCGGGCCCCAGGACCGTCAGAAAAGATTTGATAGGGTGTAAGACGGGTCACTGGGAATGGGTCGAGACCTCCAGGGGGCCACGTCATGAAATAACCACCATGAAGGAGCCTGGGCACGGCATGTTCGTGTCGCGTCAACTACGGCGTTGGTGTCTGATGCTGCGCGGATCCTTCCACCTTGGACGATCGGCGGCTTCTCGATCGCCAGAGCCTTTCATGTTGGCCGATTCTGGGCTACCGGCGGCGTTTAACCTTGAACGCCCGCGGCGGGGTCGCCGCCGCGTCGGCACGACACGAACCTGCCGCATCTGGCTCCCGACCCTCCTGTGGTCCATTTCCCCATGCGGCGAATGTCGGTGACAATAAGCGGCAGCAGCGTTGGCACCTGGATTCAGGGCGACATTCTCGAGGCACGACGGCATAGCGACCCTCCAATGGTGTTGGGTCCACCGACCCCTTCCCCCCCCCCACCTGCCGATCCTGGGCTCAAGGTGGGCCTGGCCAGGAGCGGTGTACGCGATGTGCAGATCTCGTCGCCCTGTTCCCTGCCCATGGGAGCTCTCTGGCGCAGGATGGCGCAGCAAGGCCCCAGTATGACCCCAATGCTGCCCCAAAAGACTCTCAAAATGTTGCCCATGGAGCCCCCGAAGAGCACCAAAATCGCCAAGTACGTCCAAAGCCAAACGTGGCCAGAGAGGCCCCAAGACGGCCTCATAAAGGTCCCAAACTGCTCCGACATGGCGACTGGATGGCTCAGCATGGGGATGCCGAGGCTGAGGGCGGGTTGCAATCTGATTCCCAACATCTTAAGTGGGTTTCTTGATTTCTCTGGGCACCCCGCGCAAAAAACAGCAACCCACCAACACCACCATACCATCCTCATCCTCATCCTCATCCTCATCCTCATCCTCATCCTCATCCTCATCATCATCATCATCATCACCATCACCATCATCATCATCATAATCGTCATCATCATCCTCATCACCATCATCATCGCCATCGTCATAATCATCATCATCATCAGCATCATCATCACTGCCACCACCACCACCATCATCATCATCAGCATCATCATCATCATCGTCATCATCATCATCATCATCATCATCATCATCATGACCATCATCATTCCCCGCAACCGAAGTGGGGTTCTTGTTCCCCGCATCCTATGTGGGCTTCTTGCTTTCTCTGCCCCCCCCCCCCCGCGCAGTCTCACCCCTCACCCCCTCTCTTCTCACTCACTCACCCACTCACTCTCTCTTACTCACTCACTCACTCACTCACTCACTCGCTCACCCACATACGTTACCCACTCACTGGCATGCACTCATCACTCACTCGCTCATTCACCCACCAGCACACCATGACCATCACCATCATGATCGCCAAAATCATCACCAGCATTATCATCACCATCATCAGTGTCACCAACATTATTTCACACGCACTCACGCATCCACTCATACTGCCAAGCGCATATGCACACACACACACACTCACAAACCCACCTTGAGGAAGTATGAAGCGGGAGCCTCGTCTGTGAGTGCATTGCGGGGAAGTCTCAAGCGGGAGCCCTCTCCCTGTGGGGCCCGAACCTCACGCTTGTTTGCCCTAGCGGGTTTTCCTGATACATGTAGCTGTCGTCACTTCTGGGCTCCTCGGGCCTGAAGATGGAGGATGTATCAAATGGGAACCTCGTCTGTGAGTGAATCGCGAGGAAGTCACAGGCGGGAGCCCCCTCCCTATGTGGCCAATACGGGCTCCGCAAGCTTGCATATGGAGAGCATATCAACTGGGAGCATCGTCTGTGAGTGAGTTGCGAGGAAGTCTCAGGCGGGAACCCCTCTCCCAGTGGGGCCCGCGCCTCCTGTTTTTTAGATGAAGAATCCGACTGGGTCATCCACATACTTGTAAATTTCGTCACTCTTGGGTTGCTCAGGCCTGAATATGGGGGAAGTCTCAAGCGGAAGCCTCGTCTCTGAGTGAAGCGCGAGGAAGTGTAAAGCGGGAGCCCTTTCCCTTTGGGGCCCGCACCTCATGTTTTGAACCCGAACGGGTCAACATATTTCTTGTAGCTGCCACCACTTTTGGACAGGTCAAGCCTGAGTATAAACGAAATCTGAAGCAGGAGCCTGGTCTGAAAAGATGCAAAGAACTCTCAGGCGGGAACCCCCGTCCTTATGGGGCTCACAACTCACGTCTTGACCCCGAGCGGGTCATCCGAATACTTGTAACTGTCGTCAGGTTTGGGCTCCGCAGGCCTGATTATGGAGGAAGTCTCAAGCGGGAGCCTCGTCTATGAGTGAATTGCGAGGATTCTTCACGCGGGAACCCGTCCCTGATGGGCCCGCGCCTCATGATTTTTGAATCCGAGCGGGCCATCCTAATACATTTCACTGTTGCCACTTTGGGCTCCTCAGGCCTGAATATGGAGGATGTATCAAACGGGATCCTTTTGTGTGAGTGAATTGCGAAGAAATCTTAGGCGGGAGCCCCCTCCTGCTGAGGCCCCGCGCCTGATGTTTTTAATCTGCGAGGGGTCGCGCGAAAACGTTGAAATATCGTCATGTTTGGGCTGCTCCGGCCTGAATATGGAGGAAGTCTCAAGCGGGAACCTCGTCGGTGAGCGGATTGCGAGGAAGTCTCAGGTGGGGTCACCTCCCCATGGGGACCGCACTTCGTGTCCGAATTCAAGCGGAGCATCCTAAAACCTCTGCATGCTCCTCAGGCCTGAATATGAAGGATGTATCAAGCAGGGGCTTCTTCTGTGAGTTAATTGGGAGGAAGTCTCAGGCGGGAGCCCCCTCCCAATGGGGCACCCCCAAAACGGCCATCTGAGAACGCGCCCATGCCAGCCGCTGCGGCAACGGCGCCGAGGGAAGTTGACTTGCCCTGGCCAGGCAGGGGATGTCCATGGGGAGAACAGGCTGGAGGAGGATAAGAGAGGGAGAGTTAGGAGGATGGGATGGCGAGGAGGGGGAGGAGGAGGAGGAGGAGGAGGAAACGCGCGAGGAGGAGAAGGAAGGGGGAGGACGAGAAGGAGGAAGAGACGGAGGGCGAAGATGGCGAGGAGGAGGAGGAGGAGGAGGCGCAACAGAGGGCGGGAGGAGGGCCTCCGCCAAGGAAGCGGAACAAGTGAGGGGCAAGCTGAATAGAAACTCGTGCGGGGTCCTACCGTCGGAAATGTTGTTTTGTTCTCTCTCTCTCTCTCTCTTTCTCTCTCTCTCTCTCTCTCTCTCTCTCTCTTTCTTTTCACCACCACATCGACCGCGCACCTTAAACCACAAACCAGCGTGAGGTCCCAGAGCCTGCTCCATGAATCGTGCAGCCGGTGACGCGTGACACCGAAGAGGCGAATAAAGGGGCAGACAGCAGAGAAGAGCAGAAGCGCAAGCGTGGGCGGCGAACGCTATCAATCCCCCCCCTGACAGCTTCAACTGCCCCGAACAATTTGCAATCTCAGCTGGTCCGAGCATTTTTTATTCCCCCTCGTGACTCACCCCCGCCAACCTTGGCCGCCCCTTTCCCCCCTGTGAGATCTTTTCTGGCAGGGGCTTCGGGTCCAAAGACGGCCCCAGGACGGCCCAAGATGGTCCCAAGACGGCGCAGGATGACAGCAAGACTGCGAAGGAAGCCCACAAGAGTCCACAAGGGGGCTGCAAAAGGGCCACCAAGAGGCCCACAAGAGGCCAACATCGCACCAAACCCACAGAAAAACATAACGTGTTTGTATATGTATCTTGACAGCGTGCAAGACGGCCCAATAGGCTCCCACGATCTCCTTCAGACGGCCCAAGGTGCCCCCAAGAGGGCCCAAGAGGCGCCAAAGACGGTCTAAGAGGGCCCTGCAAGGCACAAGTTCGGGGCCCAAGAGGGGAATCTTGAACTAACCTGTCGAGCTCCCGAAGAAGATCCCCGCGACCGCCAGCAGGCTCCCGGGGAAGCCCCTGGGACGGCCCAAGAGACTCCCAAGAGTGCCAACAGAGACCCCAAGAGGCCCCCAAACGGCCCCCATGAGGCCCAAAACCTAATTACCTCCAAGAGGCTCCCTGGAGGCTGCCCAAGGAACCCTAAGAAGTGTCCAACCCAAAGCATGCCTCCAGGAGGCCCAACGCCCGCCAGTGACGGCCTCAAGCGTCCACAGAGCCTCCTCCTCCGCCTCCTTCCCTCCTCCTCCTCCTCCTCCTCGTCCTCCTCCTCCTCCTCCTCCTCCTCCTGATCCTCCTCGTCGTCGTCGTCAGCCTCCTCCTCCTCCCCCTCCTCCTCCTCCTCCTCCTCCTCCTCCTCCTCCTCCTCCTCCTCCTCCTCCTCCTCCTCCTCCTCCTCCTCCTCCCCCCCATCCCCCTCTCTTGAGACGAAGCCAGGACGAGGATTAAATCGTGTGAAGATCAATCGAGAATCTCTGAGATCTGGCTGTTCTGACGGATGCATCGGGCGCCGCGGCCTTCTCAGAGCGTTCCGGAACGCTCTGAGAGCGTTCCTGAACGCTCTGGATCGGAGTGATTCTCGTCCTAGCCCCGCCCGATCTCTCTTCCCCATGTCCGTCCTCATTGCGTGGTCTCCTCGCCCCTCGCTCACAAGCCTCCGCCTCCGCCTCCTCTCGGCCAAGACCTGGAGAACCCCCCCAACACACAACACGTATCCCGCAATGCCTCCGGGTACTTTAAAGTCGTGTTCCCTACTGTGCTCCTCTCCCCTGGCCTGCCTATAATATCCTGCGTCTTCACTCTTCAGTCCAGTCCCCCTACTACTGTTAACTCGCTGGACCCGCAGCGCCAAGGATCACCAACTTCGGAGAACGTGCCTCAGCGTCCAGGCAGCTCAAGGTTGGCCCGATACTCCCATTGTGACGCCACCGACCAGCTCCGCAGGCCCAGAAGTAGTGTAAAGCACGCCCGCGAGCCCAATGGGCCAAGGACGGCCTCGATGCGGCCCCTCGAAGGTCCGCGAGAACCCACATGACTAGTCGGCTGCTCCGTGGAGGTCCAGCCTGTCCAGACGTGGTACTGCGAAGCGCTGCGGATACTGAACCTGCAGCGGCACAGTCGGACGGATTATTGTTTCCCGGGCAATCGGAGAAGATCTGGATGTCTGGACAGACCGTGCACTCCGTCGGCGCTGGCGTAGGTGAGATCGTTGACGGCGTTGGCGAAGCTGTAGGAGAGGCCGTGGGCGACGGCGTTGCGTTAGATGAGGGCGTAGGCGAAGGCGTAGGCGAGGGCGTAGGTGAGGACGATGGCGAGGGCGAGGGCGACGCCGAGGGCAAGGGCGTAGGTCCGGGCGTTGGCGAGGGCGAGGGCGACGCCGTAGGCGAGAACGTCGGCGCGGGTGTGGGTCCAGGCGATGGAAACGGCGTGGGCGAGGGCGTTGGTCCGGGCGAGGGCACTGGCGTCGGCGAGGGCGTGGGTAGTGGCGTAGGAGAGGGCGTGGGTGAAGGCGTAGATGAGGGCGTAGGAGATGGCGTAGGCGCACCGGTTGGGGATGGCGTGGGCGAGGGCGTGGGGGACGCTACAGGAGCAGGCGTCGGAGTTGCGCTGTCGCAGGTGTTCGTGCTGCTGGTGCAGAGCTCGCCGTCTGTGCACAAATTGGTGCCACAGTCGCACGGGTAGCTCGAGCTCGGCCCCGTCCCGTCGGAGACAGAGCACGGGTTCGCTGGGAGGGCGTAGACCACAAGATTGACAGTGGGAGTGGGCGTCGCATCGTTGGTGACACAGCCAGTGCAGTTCGTGGCCGTCAGGAGATCCCACCTCTGCGCAGCGGTCATGGATCCCGCAGAGGGGTAAGCCTCGTACATCCTCGCCGCGAGGCCAGCGACGTGGGGGCATGCCATGGACGTGCCCGTCATGTATTGGGTATGGGTGTTGCTGGATGGGCCCGTCGACAGGACGCTTGTGCCCGGAGCATAGACATCGATACAGGAGCCCCAGTTGCTGTACCCAGCCCTGTTCCACGAATTTCCTGAGTTTCCTCCAATGGCCGCTACGGTGATCGCACTGGGAATAAAGGCTGGAGTCCGCCAACCCCCCCTTGCCGGGGATCAGACGGTGTGCGAAATGTTTGCATCCCCCTGCCCCCCTCCCTGGGTGCCTCAAGATTCCGTTGGACGGCGGGGTGGGGGCACGAGCCCCCAGATTTACAGTCGCCCCGTCCACCTTTCAGGGGTCCGCGGGATGTCGAAAGCCTATCGTATCCAGGTGCACGCGTCTTGGTTTGAGTTCCCCGCAGCCACAACCACGGTGACGCCATCGGCTACCAGAGCATCGGTCGACGCCAGCCACGGAGCGTCGTTCCAGTTGGGCCCGACCTGGATACTGGAGCTTACCACTGCTGGCCTGTTTCCTGACGCCAGAATCCACTGCTCGGCCATAACCATCCACGTTGTCCAGCCGGAGCCAGCATTATTCAGGACTTTCATCGACCAAATAGTCGCGCCATCCGCGACGCCATATGACGAGGACCCCACTGTGCCTGCGCAGTGGCTGCCGTGTCCGTGTACGTCGTTAGCGCACGTTGTGCTCGTGGGCGAACACGTTGTGAGAGTGCCGGGATACGTTTCTGGGGTTGTCAAGTCGACTCCAGCGAAGGCCCGGCCGCCGAACTCGTTGTGGGTTATGCGAATGCCGGTATCCAGGACATACACGCTCACCCCCACGCCCCGCCCCCGGACCGCGTCAGCTTGGACGTACTGGATACCCCATGGGTACGTCCGCCGCTCCGATTGTCCGTCGTTGGGTTCGGGGTCGTCGACCATTTTCACGAACTCGTCTTCTTGGACAGACTTCACACGGCCAGGGTACCTGTTCAGTAAAGCCCTGAGGCCGTCTTCTGTCATGTTCCCAAACACAAGCGGGACCTGGTTGGAAGCTGCCGGGGGGTCTGCGCCAGATGAGCTGCGAGAGAATCGGTCAATAGGGGGGTCAGAGGCAAATGCGCTCAAAATCAATCCCTGGACCCCTGCTCCGGTCGAAACTAACTAGTCTTTCGGGCTGCGTCTAGCTGTGGCGACTCGGTGGCCTCGTTCTCCCTCCTTTCTGCTGGCTGGAACCAGTGGTGGGCCATTTCAGCCCCCCCGCCAGCTCCAAGGACCTGGCCCTTATCTGGATATGTCTGCAGCCCGTTCGTGAACTCCGCGCTGATCACCTTCAGCTCCGCGTCCGTAGCGTCGCTCTCCAGCAGCAGCTTCCACGGGCGCTTCGTGCGAGGGTCGGGATCGGCCGTGGGCCGGGTGCAGACGGTCGCGCCGGCCTCCACGAAGCAGCCTGGCGCCGTCGGAGTCCGCTGGGTCGACCTTCGATGAGGAAGAGCGGAGGGCAGTTGTTCTTGAAAGTGCGGGGGGGCATTGTTCTGTATTTGTTTCCCTCGTTTCCCACTTGTTGCATTCGACTCTACCAGAACGTGTGAAAAACTGCGCCCCAGAAAGTGAGCGTCAGGCAGACGGCATTGCGAGATCAAACGTGAAGAAAAAACAAGGAACACGAAACGAAAAGGGGCATGTAGGGCACGAGCCGATCACGGATCTGAAGACGTAACAAGAACGGCACCCGAAACGTATAAAAGATAACGTCGGCCATCAAAAGGGAACACAATCCCCTGAGCATATGAGTATCTTTCTGGCGTGTGCTCCAGAAAGTGTCTGGCGCATGAGTGGCAGCGCAAAGAGTCAGCAGCGTGCAGCTGATGCTCTGGACGAACGGCCCTGAGCCGACGGCAAACTCGCCCACCGAGAAGATAACGATCGTCGTCGTCGCAGCTCTTGGGTCTGCCTCGTCCCGCAGATCGATCGGGAAGGAAGGGGGGTAGACAGCAGGGCGAACCGACCGTGGGCCATCTCTCGCCAGCGACCGCGGCGGCTGGCCAGAGCTCCACGTCTGCATCAGCTGGAGGTCGCCCTCGGGGGCCAGGCCAGAAGCGCCGAGGGCGCCGACGAGGCCGGCGATCAAAAGGCAGTGAGCCATCTTTAAAACAAGTGACGAGACTGCAGTCCAGCACAGCTGCGAGAATCCTCCCCCGCGCCCCAGGAGACCGACGAGAAAAAACAAAGCTGGCCAGCTGTTCGTGTTGCCACAACTCCATTCCGAAGACCGGCGTCGACGTTTCGGAACCAGGCATCCAGCGTTTGGTGATTTTCGTGCTGCCATGAACTCGACACCCGGGCCTGATTTTGAACATCTGGCGCCAACCATCCAGCGCTTGGTGGTCTTCTCTGTCCCTCAACATTTCTGGGGGTACGTGCCTGTAGTCCGGAGGATGTACCTGCAGTCCTGGGGAGAGGTACCTGTGTAGTCCGGGGGTGAGGGGGGCTTGTAGTCCAGGGGCAGTCCCGGGCCGAGGGAGGGGGCATGCCGGACCTATAATCTGGGGGGGGCCCGTCGTTGGCGGAGGCATCTGTGTGCCTTGAAGGGAGGTGTACCAGCGCCGCCAAGTGGAACCCCATCCCATGCGCGCGGAAGCCGCGGGTCCGCTTCTCTCAGGAAATTAAGGAGCGCGGGCGCGTTCACGCCCGTTCCTCTCTAAGTGCGCGGCCGTGCCCAAGCGCGTTCATACTGTACCTGTGCTGTCTGTCGATGGAAGGCCGCGCGCGCAGGAAAACCTATGCGCGCGCGCTGTAAGTGCCAACGCGTGTGAGGAGCTCCCAGTCTCATCCTCTCCTTCTCTCTCTCTCTCTCTCGTTCTGTCATTGTTGTTGTTGGTGGTGGTGTTGGTGTTGCTGCTGCTGCTGCTGCTGTTGTTGTTGTTGTTGCTGTTGTTGTTGTTGTTGTTACTGCTGTTGTTGTCTATTGCTGGTGCATTGTTGCTCTCTCTCTTTCGTTATCTCTCTCTCTCTCGCTCCCCCTTCTCCCGCTCTTGCTATGTGTTATGTTTGTTTTGTTTTCTCTCTCTCTCTCTCGCTCTCTTCTGTTTCATGTTCTTTCCCATTAGTTAACCTCCTTCCCTCTCGGGATGGCCTTGGGGGGTTGGAGGATACCTGTAGTTCTTTGGGGGGGACCTGGAGTCCGAGGTGGGGTGCCTGGGGGAGGGGTACCCGAAATACGGGGAGGGTGCCTGTAGTCTGGAAGTGGGCACTTACCTGTAATTTGTCGTGGGGGGGCTGTAGTTCGTGCTGCAAAGCCTCCACTTCCTGGCATGATTTTGAGCGTTCAATGCCAGCAATCAAACGTGTGATGCTCCATGCCCAGCCCTACGCATGATTCAGCTCCAGCCAAACCTCCAGCTTCTGTTCCAACCCCTGCTCGACCTCCACCACAAGTTCCATCTCCACTCCAGCCTGAGCTCCAGCCTCATCTTCAGCACGAGTCCAGCTTCTGCAGATGCAGCTCTAAGTCCAGCTCCAGCCACAGTTCCAGTTCCTGCTCCAGCAACAGGCTAGGACCAACCGAGAGCCTGTCCAGCTCCAGCTCCAGCTCCAGTCCCATTTCTGGGCAGCGAGGGTGGGAAGCAGCCACGGTGACAGGGTGTAAATGGGGGCGCAGCCCAGACAGACGGTAACGACGCTTGGCCAAGGAAGGAAGATGAATCCAGTATAGGCGGGACAGCGGCGTGGCAAACTGGGGAAGCAGTGACCAGCCAAGGACAAGGCGCGAACACATACACACGAACAAACAAACAAACAAACAAACAAACAAACAAACAAACAAACAAACAAACAAACAAACAGACAATCAAACAGACAATCAAACACACAAACAAACAAACAAACAAACAAACAAACAAACAAACGAACAAACAAACCAACAAATCAACACACAAATAAACACACATACGCAACACACAAACACACACACACAAACGCACACACAGACACTTGTTCGGCGGTAGCGACCTCGCGCACGGCGACGAGGCGAAGCACACACACACACGAACGCACGCACGCACGCACGCACACACACACACACACACATGCACGCGCGCAAGCAGGCACACAAGTTTAAGTCAGTGGCGCAGCAGATCCTCAGGCGCGAGGGGCAGATGGAAGTGCGAATTGCGATCGAACGTTGTCGAAGGCACAGGTGTACGACAAGTGCACACTGTCAATGCAGCGATGGGTGGTGTGAAGAGAAGCTGCACATTCAAGCGAAGCGTGCAGCGTGCAGCGTGCAGCGTCCAGAAAACCGAGGAGGCGGCTCAACTCGAAGAAAACTGACGCACACACAAACACACACACACACACACACACACACGCGCATCTACACGTTGCGTAGCTTCAGCGCGTCTTTCCTCGCAGATGCGTTCCATGTGTGCTTCTACATGCTGGCCTACTGCCTAGCAAACGAGGTTCCCCAGAGCCATCAAATGCGGGCCCTGTCTGGGGGGCCTCTTCTCAGCCCTGCCCCTCAGGAAGCAATACGGTAGAGGGAAACAATGACTGAACACTCCCCCATTTGGGGGAGAGGGGGAGGCGTTGACAGATGAATGTGCCATGAGTGTTCGCTATCTCTTGCCCGAGGCCTATAGCACAGCCGTCGTGCTGCAGGCGCTCCTGACCACGGCGACCTCGGCCACGACGAGGCCCCCGACCCAAACCTCCCGCCCAACGGACCGCAGACCAGAGCCTCCTGCAGAGCCCAAGGGCGGCCCTTACAGGGAGGACCCAGGCCAAGAAACACCGCTGCTTGCCTCCAGTGTGCCCTGGATTTCTTGGGCTTCGATGTTTTTGCCATGGGAAGCGCGACGTGCCCACGCCGCAAATCAAGGGGCGCCCCGGGGTCTCAGGGTTGGGTTCCTTGCGGAGGGTTTCTTGTGGTCGAGCCCCTGCTGTCTCCCAGATCAGGGCGACGCGAGACAACGGCAGCCCTACATCGGTCCGGGGACCACTCCTGGATTTGCAAGTTGCGTCCAGCCGTGCCCCCCCGGAGGCCAACTACCTCTGTCCCAACTCGCCCTCCTCTGACCGTCTCGGCACTTTGACGATACGTGCGGCCAGGCGCACCGAGGCCAAAGTGGCGTCGCGTGTGCTCTTCGCCGCACTTGCACGCACGCTCTCGCGGCCCTCGGGGTGAAGGGGAGCAGAATCCGCCGACGCTGTCGGCGTGTGGAGCGTGTGGAAGACGCTCTTTCGTTCGTTGTCGTCGTCGTCGTCGACGTCACCCTCGCCGCTGCCCCTCGTCCTGGTCGTCGTCGTCGTCGTCGTCGTCGTCGTCGTCGCCGTCGTCGTCGTCGTCGTCGTCGTCGTCGTCGTTTCCGTCGCCGTCGCCGTCGCCGTCGCCGTCGCCGCTCCCCCCCTTTCCCTGGGCCCTCCTCCTCCAGCGCGCCAGCCAAATCGATCGAAATTGAGCAACGTCGTAGTTGACTCGAAGGGAAGTCCCTTCCCTTTGATCCCTTTCCCGCCCTGGGGGTGGGGGGGGTCCCAAGGGAGGTCCAGGGGAGGGTGTCGAGGGGGGCCCCGGGGAGGTCCCAGGTCCCAGAGCCCCAAAAAACTCAAGACAAGCAAAGAGTGGCCCAAGGGGCCTCCAACACGGTCCAAGAGGGCCGCGAATCGCCGAATTGTCCGTCCCATGTGCCACAAATGGTCTCCAGACGGTCCACGACACCTCCCAGACGCTCCACGAGGCCTCCAAGAGCACTCCGAGAAGGGCCCCAAGAGGTGAAAAATCGTATGTGTTCCATCGTTTTATAGATTTTGGTGTTCTCGCGTTTTCGGCTTCCCGACGCTCCAAGACGGCCGACGAGGCCTCCACGATCGCCCCGAGATCGCCCTTGCAGTCTCCTAGAGGGCCCCGAAATGACCCAAGAAGACCCCCAGGTAACTCAAGAGACCCCCAAGACTTCCCAAGATGCCCCCAAGACGGCTCCCAGAGCGTGCCCACACAGGGGACTCGAAAGGAGCTTTGGAACCTCCGGCACCAGAGCCTCCCAGAGGCCCCAAGGGGTCCCAAGAGGCCCCCCAAGAGGCCCCCAAGAGGCCCCCAGGAAGACCCAAGAAGCCCACAGGAGGCTCCAAAGAGAACCCGAAGAGGGTCCAGAAGACCCAAGAGCCCCCCCCCCTTCGTCCACCTGTTCCATCCCCCTGTCCTCCGCGCATACAGGTCGAGTAGGAGATCGACTGCAGAATTGATATAACTACCCCCCAAATTGATGTTTGCCCCATCGAATGTACGACAAATGCGTATAATGTTCGTAAATATACGAGGAATTCTCTTTTTTTCTTAGACTCGACGAGAAAATCAAATTTGAGGTACATCAAACCTATAGCCGATCCCCCACTCGAACAGGGTCGGCGGCACCCGCCGCAAGGCCTTCACAATAAGTTCGCGGCGGCGGGGACCGCGGAGCCCCGCAACAAAACAGCCAAGGGACCTGCCCCCGACGCGCGTTCGGGCCAGGACTTCCAAAAGGGGAATCCCCCACCGTGCCGACGAGGCGATCAAGATGTCCCCCGGGGCCCAGGCCGAGAGATCTTCCAGGAGTTCTCCTCCTCCTCCTCCTCCTCCTCCTCCTCCTCCTCCTCCTCCTCCTCCTCCGCCGTCTCCGCCTCCGCCTCCGCCTCCGCCTCCTCCACTTCCTCCTCCTCCTCCTCCCCTCCTCCTCCTCCTCCTCTTTCTCCTCCTCCTCTCCTCCTCCTCCTCCTCCTCCTCCTCCTCCTCCTCCTCCTCCCCCTCCTCCCCCTCCTCCTCCTCTCCTCCGCCTCCTCCTCCTCCTCCGCCTCCTCCTCCTCCTCCTCCTCCTCCTCCTCCTCTCCTCTCTCTCCTCCTCCTCCTCCTCCTCCTCCTCCTCCTCCTCCTCCTCCGCCTCCTCCTCCTCCTCCTCCGCCTCCGCCTCCGCCTCCGCCTCCGCCTCCGCCTCCTCCTCCTCTTCCTCCTCCTCCTCCTCCTCCTCCTCTCTGGGAGGGAAGCGGGACCTCGGAGACCTCACAGCTGCGCGGGACTGTGGGAAGAAGGTTTATAAACGATGCAGGCTCGCGCGCCAGTGACGCGAGCTCCACCAGAGGTGTTTGAGAAGTGAGCGAGCCACCCGAAAGCGGCAGCCCGAGCACTCGAGCCAGAACGGTTGACGATGAGGAGCTGGAGAGGCAGGAGGGCGAGAGACATAAAGGATGGCATGGACGCGGTGCATGGAGAGGGTAGGGGGGAAGCTGGGGGGGAGGAGCCCGGAGGGGAGCGAGAGGAGGGGATGAAAAAGGAACCCTGCCTGTGCGTGTGGGGGAAGAAGGGGGGGAAGACGAGGAAATGAAGGGAGAGGAGGAGGAGGAGGACGAGGAGGAGGAATAGGATTAGAGACAAGAGTCAACCCAAGATGCATCAGCGATGCTGCAACACACCCTTTCGTTCCAAGTCCCCTCCTCGTTCGTCCCAGCACGCCCTCGCCCGCACGACGCGAAGCGCCGCCTCGATAGACCATCACCACACGGGCCTGCCATTCTGGCGAGGAGTCCCGTTTCGGAAAGGAACTACGCTGCATCCTTCGAGCGTGTTCAGAACTCCCAAAAAGGTATGGTCATGCAGTTCACCGAAGTGTCAAGTGTGACCCTCGCTCTGATTAAGGACCGGCCCACCGTCCGTCAGAATAATGCACAAGCTTGCCATCCGGGTCATGAGCTGAAGAGTAGGTCACAGGCGAGGGCCCCGTTTTGAATCAGAGCCATCCCCCATCCCAGTATATGGTTGCGTGCTGCGCTGAGGCGATAGCAATATTCAGACAACACCCCCTCTCCATTGTTGCAGCTTTTGAATTTCTTTCGTAACAGACAGAGAAGAGATGTGCGCGGTGCTGAGGAGAGAGCAACACGATGAAAACGACCCCCACCCACCCTTGCACTTAACATTTGCAAAGGCGAACCAAAGCGCGCTGCGCTCAGGCTAATAGAGGCGATAAACACATGTCAAGAACAACCCCACCCGTCCGTGTAACTGCTGCTAATACCAAGCTTCAGGATCATACCTGGTAGGGGACGTCTCAAGCGAGGCGCCCAGTCGCCCTACGACGGGTCCAGGGGTGGGGCAGGGGGGAGCTCTTCATGAGGAGTGGGGATGAAGGAGGAGGCAGGGGAGGAAGAGGAGGAGGAAGAAGAAGAGACGGAGGAGAAGGAGGAGGCGGAAGAGACGGCGGGGGAGAAGGAGGAGGAGGAAGAGGATGAGAAACAGGAGGAGGAGAGAAAGGAGGCGGAGGAGGAGGAGGACCTCAACCAATCAGGCGGGTCACTCTCGGGGGCGGCGTCGGGCACGAAACCGACGGTGCCAGACAAGAAGAGACTCCAGGCATCGAGGCAACCTGGCCCTCCGCATCCTAGTCCTTGTAGATCTCGTCGTCGTCATCGTCGTCTTCGGTCTCCACCAAATCATCACCATCCCCATCATCAGTATCATCACCATCAGCATCATAATCGCCATCAGCACATGAATCATCATCAACATGATGGTTGCCACCATCATCAACATTGCCATCATCATCAGCATCATCGACATCATCATAATCATCACCGTCATCATCAACAGTACCATGATCATCAACATCATCGCAATCCGCATCAGCATCAGCATCAACATCACCAACAACATCACCATCGCATCATCCTGGCGGTCGCATCGGATCGGCATCGGATCCGATCGAGACCGGATCGCATCGAGCCGGAGGCATCGGCACGAGCCCTGCCGAGGCGGGGGCGAGGAGCACCTCCCCGCGCGCCTGCCGAGGCGCCACGGGCGGGCGCGGCTGGCGAGGGGGGCGCTGGCCCGCGGTCGCCTCTCAGCCCTCCGCAGCGGCCAGCTCACACGTGTCCATCTCGGCCTGCGCGTAGTAGGCCCGCTCGTCGACGCCCGCCAGGTGAGGCTCGCCGCCGTCGCCCGCCGCGGGGACCGCGGGCTGCTGGGGCCCGCGGGGGCCGCGCCGCTCCGCGGGGCCAGGGCGAAGCCAGGGAACGGGGCAGGATCCGCCCGGGACAGGTCGGGGGTCTCTGAGATGCGGCGGTTCTGGAGGACACGCGGGGCGCCGCGGCTGTCCCAGAGCGCTCCGGAAGGCCCTGCAGGCGATTTGGCACGCCCTGCAGCGAGTCATGCTGGTGCTGGGCCCGCCCGACTGAGGCAGGGGGGAGGGGCCAGAGCGAAGAGCTCGGACCCTGGGCTGGGCCTGAGAGGTCGGCCCAGCACAGGCCGCAACCCCTGGACTGCGCAAGACAGGCGTGCCTCAGGTCCGACCAAAACCCGCGCAGTCCCGACCCCGCCCGCCAGACGCTGGCTCCGGCAGAGCCCAGAGATCCAGGAGGCCAGCGGGGAGTTTTGCCAGCGCACATGCTCGTCGGCGTTTGGATTGTTTCCTGAAATGGTTGTCTGTAAGGGTTCTGAACCATTCTAGCCCTGGAAAACTTTTGCTTAGCGTGTCGCGGCGGCGGCCCCGGCGACACGCTATGCCCTGCGAGCTGCTAGCGTGAAGCTTTGCTTCCCAGGGCGGGAGGCTGGTGAAAGCTGGAGGCTGGCAAAGGCTAGAGGTATGCCCTGCGAGCTGGAGGCTAGTGAAGGCTTGGGACACTTACGCCTGGGATGTGTGACGTGATGAACTTGTCGCGCCGAGGCGTGGAACTGGCGCCGCGACGCGCTGAGACAAAGCTCCTGACCGCAACGCCTGGTAGAGGATACCGGTGCAGGATCGGTGGCCCATGGTAGCCGCCCATCGCGGAGCCGCATCGTGTCACCCCATCGTGGCTTTGTGAGGCTGTCCAGGGTCTCCTGCCGCAAGAAGGCGCCGTTTTAGCTCCTGGACCTGCCCGGGCCTGTGGGAGCAGGGCGAGTCGAGACAGCAGCAGCTCAAAACTTATCCCGAGGCCCCATCTGGGGTCCCAGCGCACCAGGTCTCCGAGCTGCGTCGAGCCGTGGCGGCAAGGAGGCCCCCCAGCGGGCGAACTACCGTTGGCTCAATTCGCCCTCCTCTGAATCTGATTCATGCTCCACTCGGGCCCCCTGCACCTCGGAGGGGCGGGACCACCGCGGGGCTGGGCTGGCGGGCCCGCCTCGCCGTCGGAGTCGATCTCTAGCGGCTCAAGCTCGATCGTCGACGATCCCCCGGGCGTGTGCTAGCGCCAACGTGCGCTTGTCCACCGACGCCCTTCATTCGCGATGGAGGCGGTGGACTGGTGGCCGACACAGGCTGCGTGCCATCGGTGGACCTGAATGCAGCAAACCACACCCATTGTTTCAGAACGTCGACACCAGAGGTCTCGACCCATTCCCCTGGACAAGTTGTTTCACCCTCAGTTGTTGCACGTAGTTGCGCGCAGTTGACTTGACTGTTGCACGCACCCATACTAATGCGCCGTCTGTTGCACGCAGTTGACTTGACTTGACTTGACGGGGCCCAGCGAGGCCCCCCAAAGGCCGAAAAGCGAAGAACAACTGCCGCTGTGCTGCCTTCACGTCCCGAAGGGGCCTGGGAACGCACACCCGGCCAACGCACGCCCTGAGGATCATCGAGATTGGGGCGGCGGCGGGACCGCTGAACTGCACCGAGGCGATGCACACGCCGCCCGCCTTCAGGAGCGCCCGAGCGGGGTGCGTCCGAGAGGCGGGTTCGCAAATCGTGTCCCGATGCGTGTGCGCGGACGAGGGGGGGACCAGAGGACGCATTGAAAGAAGAGGAGGGGGCCATGAGTCCGGGGAGGTTGAGCATCGTTTATCCGACTCCTATCCCACAACGGCGCGGCCTGGGCCCAAGCGGCCGATTTACCCCCCGCTTCCTTCGGGTCTCGAAGGTCTATTCCCAACTGGGGTGCCGAGATAATGGGGATATGGATGGGGATGGGGATAGGGGTCGGCTACACGATACTGAAATATATCATGGCCCCCGCCATGAGATCCCCTCCCCCCAGGAAACTTAAAGGGTACCAAAGATACCAATACCGCTGTTCCCTGGACCTCTCCTGGGGTGCGTTCTGGCCAACATGTCGAGGCGAACCCAGCGGTGGCGACGAGTGCCTCCCAGGAGGCCCAAACAATCGAAAACAACAGAAAAATAGCGGTATGTGTACGCTATGGTTCCCGTTCCGCTTTTAACCCAATCCCTTGTTTTCTTGATCTTTCCACTGGCAGAAGGAATCGGGACATCGTGGTAGCGCACTTGTGAAAATAATGGTTTGATTCAAACGAACCTGCTATTGATTTTTGCCATCGACTACATTCGCAAAACCCACGTCGTGCATCATCCCTCGAAGTTTCGGGCTGGAAGTGTCCTCCTCGGAGCCATCCCCCTCTTGGCCGCCCCCGCCCACCTCCACCGCCGCGCTCGCCGCCTCCTCGCCCGCGGCAGCGTCAAGCGCCTCGCCGTCGCCCTGGGGGAAGCAGGGGCCTAGCGCTGGCCCCGCGGCGGCGTCGGCGGCCGCGCCCGCCGAGGACCGGCCGCTGCCAGAAGCATCCCTGGCCCAGACATGCTCGCGTCGTGAAAAGATCAGGACCGGAGGTTCTCCAAAAAGGAAGAGGAGGGGGAGGAGGAGGAGGAGGATGCGGAGGGGAAGGAGGAGGATGCGGAGGGGAAGGAGGAGGAGGAGGAGGTCAGGGAAGGACAGAGGCGGGCAAGCAGGCGCAAGCAGGGAGAGCGAAGGACGTCCCACCCGGAATGGGCCCTGGAAACGACAGGGCGTTATTTGACCTGTTCTGTTTCGCCGCTTTCTCGCGGGTTCCGTCGCCATTTGTTTTGCCGGTTCCGTCGCCGTATTTTGTTCCCAACCATCCTGTGGTGTTCCTCGTTTTGAAAAGACGGTCCCGCGTTCCTCTCATCTCCTCCATTCCTTCTCCTTACAGATACTCCTCCCTGTCGCACCCCGAAGCCAGTTTTTAGGGCGGGTCGGGCGACTCGCCTGAGACTTTCTCACCACTGACGACTCTGAAGCTAGAACAATGACAACAGCTTCACAGATGGAGGGCAGGTGGTTTTCAAAACGTAGCTCTCGCCTTAGCGCCGCGCACATACGCTTTTTAAAAATTGCAAGTGCTTCACGGATTGAATGCGGTTTCTTTTCGAAATGTGGATCTCGCCTCAGCGACGCGCACACTCGTTTTGAACATTTGCAAGAGTTTCACGGATTGAGGGCGGTTCCTTTTCAACCTGTGGCTCTAGCCTAAGCGCCGCGCGCACTCGTTCTAAACATTTGCAAGAGTTTCACGGATTGATGGCGGCTCCTTTTCAAAATGTGGCTCTCGCCTCAGCGCTGCGCACATTCGTTTTAAACATTTGCAACAGCTTCACGGATTGAGGGCGGTTGCTCTTCAACATGTGGCTCTCGCCTTGGCGCCGCGAACATTCGTTTTCAAGCTTTTCAAGAGTTTCACGGACTGGGGGCGGGTGGTTTTCAAAATGTGGCTCTCGCCGTAGCGCCGCGCGCATTCTTTTTCAAACTTTGCATGAGCTTCACGGATTGATTGAGGGCGGGTGGTTTTCAAAAATGTGGCTATCGCCTTAGCGCCTCGCACATTCGTTCTTTTCCTTTCTGAACATGTAAAAGTTTCACGGGTTCCCATGAACAACGTACCAGAAATTGTGTGTGTGGGAAAAATTCAGGATTATGCAGGTGCAACAGTTATGTTGGTTCGCTGTGTTGAAGTCACCAAAATGACGCTCTGACACGATTCCAGATCGTCCAGACGCAGCAGTCAGAATGATACGTGGCGTTGAAATCCCGAGAACAATGTTTTGGCATGCGTCAAGGTCTTCAAGCGGTTGTCTCCCAACGAGGCAGTTCCCTCAATGGAAATGACCGTTGTAGGGGGCCTATGATGAGGGAGCTTGGGGGGAGGGTGAATTCCAACATCGTTGATAACTCTTGGTTTTACATTGATCCTCCTCCTCCTCCTCCTCCTCCTCCTCCTCCTCCTACTCCTCCCCCTCCTCCCTCCTCCTCCTCCCCCTCCTCCTCCCCTCCCCCTCCTCCTCCTCCTCCTCCTCCTCCTCCACCTCCCTCCCCCTCCTCCCCCTCCTCCCTCCTCCTCTCTCCTCCTCTCCTCCTCCTCCTCCTCCTCCCCTCCTCCTCCCCTCGTCCTCCTCCTCCTCGTCCTCCTCCTCCTCCTCGTCCTCCTCCTCCTCCTCCTCCTCCGCCTCCTCCTCCCCCTCCTCCCTCCTCCCCCTCCTTGCCTCTGACCTCCGCATGTCCATTTCGGCACACCCCTCACACGGTTCGTGAACCCATATGGGGCTCCACCGAAGGACCAGTGGCCGCGTGCGCATGCGCCCCCCCGCCCAATTCGGCACACCCCTGACACGTTTCGCGGCCCCATAAGGGGGCTCCACCGAAGGCCCCAGTGGCCGTGTCCGCATGCGCCCTCCGCCCATTTCGGCACTTCTCACACGGTTCGTAGCCCAACATGGAGCTCCACGGAAGGCCCCAGTGCCCGCGTCCGCATCCGCCCCCCGCCCATTTCGGCACACCCCTCACACGCTTCGTGGCCCCATAGGGAACTCCACCGAAGGACCAGTGCCCCCTCCGCCCATTTCGGCGCACCCCTCCTCACACGCTTCGTGGCCCCATAGGGAGCTCCACAGAAAGCTCCAGTGGCCGCGTGCGCATGCGCCCCACCGCCCATTTCGGCACACCCCTCACACGTTTCGTGGCCCCAACGGAGGCTCCACCGAAGGCCCCAATGGCCGCGTCCGCATCCGCCCCCCGCCCATTTCGGCACGCCCCTCACACGGTTCGTGGCCACATAGGGAGCTCCACCGAAGGCCCCAGTGGCCGCGTCCGCATTCGCCCTACCGCCCATTTCGGCACACCCCTCACACGTTTCGTGGCTCCATAGGGAGCTCCACCGACAACGGTACCCACAATGCAATACTCGCAGCTGCATATGGTTGGGTATTTCGTCAGGCTAATTTTCCTGCTCTGGTTCCGGCTCCAATCCCACAGCTTTTTCGTTGCCGTTTCCCGTCGCCGTGTTTTTTTTACGGCTTCCATTTTCGGTAAATGCCCCGCCGTTTCCGGGGCCCACCAATCGGGCATTGGCAGAACTGGGTTTAGTGGGACCTGGTTTAGTGATGTGTGCTGGGGGACGCCCCCCCCGCCCCGTCCCTCTAACCCGAACTGCCGTCACTCGAAAAAACTCTAGCTACGGCAGACATGGTTTTAGTGATTCTGGTCAGTTTCGGGGCTCCGGGGCCCTACCACTTACTGGGTCCCCTTACCTGGGGTCCTGGCTATACCAGAACCAAGGCCCCACCCACCACCACGTCATCACATTTTACACGGACGCAAGCACATAGCACAAGCAAGCGGAAATCAATGCCTGGGCGTGCCGTCCCATCCTGGGTGGACGCTGGCGTGTCGCATGTGTTGCCTTACGTACTTGGTTCGCCAGGCCACGTCATGTTGGATGCACCCTGGCCTTCGCCGGCACGAGCGGTGGCGCTCGCTCTGGGATGACACCCCGCTCCCCGCATCTAGAAGTGCGTGGGCCTATGCCCAATTATGGCACTGAGCCAGTCATCACGTCTGAGAAGCTGTTGTCCCCTGGTGATAGCAGCGGCCAAGGCCCCGCTGCGAGTGGGTCTTGCCGCATGTAACTTGGAGAAAACGCTGAAGACAAAGTCAATGAACAAGGCACTGGAAATCAGTGCTTCGTTCGAACAGGGGGCGAGCTCCCAGAGGCAGAGGCGAGAAACCCCACCAGCCCTGGAGGAGTAAGGGAGCAGGGGAAGGACAAGTCCAAGGCCATCGAACACACAGATTCATCGTTGGGTGCGCCGCATGCGATGCACGTTTTCGCGGGCATGCGAAACCGAGCACTCCTGCACCATGCATCGCACCAAGATTTTCGGACCTTAGGAGGAGCGAGAGGGAACAGGCAGGGAGAAGGGGGGCAAGCCGAGAGAAGGGGAGGACAACACGCGGCATGCGTTCAAGCGCTAACTCAGGCCTGTATTTGCGCAGGTGGCTCAGCAAGACCTGAAGGCACCCCCCACATGCTTGGCCATATCGTTTGAGAAAATGTTGAAACATCACGTTGAAGCATGAAACCTCAGTCAGGATAAAGCGGGGATTGCCGTCATCATCCTGTAGTTGTCCCAAGACGGAATCAAGGATGTCTGCCACCACCGCAGGCCAAACCGTGCGATAACACAGTCGTCATCGGGATACGGTTGGCCCACGCCCCCAAATCTCCCACGAAGCGACACCGCATCGAAGAACGAGGACCCGTCACAGCGGTCCGGCACACAGCTGTGCGGCATAAGTTTTGCAAATTACGCGCTACAAAGGATCTTCAAGTCTTGAAGCAACGAGGAGGGCATGGAGTTCTGGGGGCCACGAGCCAGAGAGATTACAACGTCCCGTTCCGCCACTAACATGTACACCCCGTTTGGGCTATGGTCTTAACCGTGCTGAGGTCCAGAGACCTTGTCCAGCGAGCCTTCATGACGAACTTGGTAGCGGAAGACTTCCAAGTCGCCTCAGCACCGACGTGTCCAAGAATGACACCCTGGAAACGACCCAACTATCCTACTGGGCCGGCCAACTCCGCGAACCCACAGGTGGCCAGGTCAGCCCAGAACTACTCTTCGGAGTCGGCGTCGTTGAGGATGACCACGGTCTGTTTGATGTTTAGGAAGAGCGCTCAGCAAGCTGCCAAGCCCGAAACGGGATGGTCACTGACTTAAAGAAGTTACCTTAGGCGTTGCCCACATCGTCGGCGAAGCAGCCTAGGGTGTTCAAGGCAGGAGGTAAGCGTGCGAGATAAAGCCAAATAATCGGATCGCAAAGAGGCTACGCTTGGACACCCCGAGCACAAATGACCCAGACGCCTTCGCACCAGTAGATGCGCACCCTTCGTTATAAAGAGCCCTCGGGGCACCAATCACGAATGAGGGCACCTGCATCTCCGAGAGGACCCAGAACATCGCGTCGTGGAGCAGGCTTGAGAAAGCCGTCTGGAGATCGTAGAGGAGAACCATGGTGCGCTTGTAGTGGCACTGGCAGATGTTATAGGTGGCCGTAGCCTCGACGTCATACGTGTCGTTGAGCAGTGAGCGGTTCTTAGAAAAAAACTGCGCTGGTAACTAACGCAAGACTGCTCGACGATCGCAGCCACCGGCTTAACGATGGCCAGCATTATGATTTGTCCTACCCCCCCTGCGTTGGGTTTCGTTTGTATAGGGCAGTGCGGTCTCTGTCCTTCTCCTCCCTCTTCCTCCTCCCCGCCTCCCTTCTCCTTTCCTCTCCTCTCCTGTGCGCCTGGTGGCTTGCCTGTGGGTGTGGGGCCTGCGATGTGTGAAGCTGGCCTGCCTTGAGAGCTACGATCTGCGGAACTGTCGCCGCTTTCGAAGTCTGCTGGGGGGGTCAGCATAGAGGGCACCCGTCGCGGATTCGGATTCGACCTCGCCGTCCCTGGGGGTGGGGGGCTGCGATCTGCGAAGCTGTCGCAATTTTCGAAGGCTGCTGGGGCCAGCAAAATAAGGTCCCGCCGCGAATTCAAACTAGACCTCGGCATCCCTGGGGGGCTGAAGTTTGCGAAACTGCCGCCAGTTTCGAAAGCTGCGGGGGGGGACCTTTATAGTGAGTACCCGCCGCAAATTCAAAATAGACCTCGCCATCCCTGGGGGGGGGTCTGCGATCTGCGAAACTGTCGCCACTTTCCAAAGGCCGGTGGGCGGGCAAGCAGAGTGGGTACCCGCCACAGTTTCAGATTCGACCTCGCCGTCCCTGGGGGGCTGCTATCTGCGAAACTGTCGCCACTTTCGAAAGGGTGCTGGGGGGGCCAGCGGAGTGGGGTCCCACCCAAACTCAAACTAGACCTCGCCATCCTTGGGGGGCTGCGATCTGTGACGCTGCCGCCGATTGCGAGGGTTGCTGGGAGGTTCAGCGGAGTGAGGCACCACCCAAACTCAGACTAGACCTCGTCATCCCTGGGGGGCTGCGGTCTGCGACACTGTCACCACGTTCGAAGGCTGCGGGGGGGACCAGCGGAATGGGGCCCCACCCCAACTCAGAGTAGACCTCGCCATCGTTAGGGGGCTGCGAGTTGCGAAACTGTCGCCACTTTCGATGGGCTGCGGGGGGGGGGGGGGGGGGGCAAACCGAGTGAGGCACCACCCAAACCAAGATTAGACCTCGCCATCCTTGGGAGAGAGGGGGGGGGAGCGATCTGCGAAACTGTCGCCACTTTCGAGGGGCTGCTGGGGGAGCCAGCCGAGTGAGGCACCACCCACCCTGACCAAGACTAGGCTTCGCCATCCTTGGGGGGGGGCGATCTGCGAAACTGTCGCCACTTTCGGAGGCTGCTGGGGGGTTCAGCAGAATGAAGCACTACCCAGAGTCAGATTCGACCTCGCCATACCTGGGGGGCTGCAATCTGCGAAACTGTCGCCACTTTCAACGGCTGCTGGGGGTTCAGCGGAGTGAAGCCCCACCCGGACTCAAACTAGACCTCGCCATCCCTTGGGGCTGCGACCTTCGAAGCTGTAGCCACTTTCGAAGGCTGCTGGGGGTCCAGCGGGGGGCGCTGTCGCGGGCCGCCGCAGACCAGGCGGCGCGCCTTCGAGCGTTGACCCACGCACTGGACATTGCAGGAAGAAAGCAGGGAAGCTGGCGGGCGAGCTAGCCCTCGCTCGCTTCTTGCACTGACTATAAGCAGGGTGAATCAGTTTGTCGAGCGCCGCAGCGTCATGGCGCAGGCAGCGCTGCATTTTTAACGTGCCACCGACAAAAACAACACTCTTCGGCCTCCTCTCGTCACTTTCGTCGTCTTCCTCTGCCCCCTGCCACCTTCCCTCTGCTGCTGCCGCGCTAACGGTTCGGCCCCCCGCGCGCCCTTGTCCTGCCCTCCGTTCCCGCCCCCATGTCCTCCTCAAGCCTGGGCCCTCTCTCCTCGTCCTTCTGTTGTTGTCCCGAGCATCGTGCCACGTGAGCGCACACCATGTAGCTTGCACAACATTTAACGGCGCCTGCACTGCCGTTGTCCTGGCAAGTTTGGGCCAACTCCGTTTGTCACTTGATGCAAATGGGTTGGGTACGTCGCTGGGTAGTTTGCGCGGTGCTCGATGGGGGTGAGGGGCCGCGTCCGGCAGGGAGTGCGGGTCACCATGTTGTCGTCCAGAGGCTCCTCGCCCTTGGCAAAGAAGATCGCGTAAAGGGGGAACCGAATCCTACACAGGCGCTTTGTCCGGCCCTGCACTGAAATTTCCATAGGGAAGCGGATCCTGGTGTGTACAGAACCCTGATGTATACATTGTCCAGTGTTTCCCCGGGAAACGGATAAGCAAAGTATCCACCAGACCACCCCGATGTCGTCCCCGACCCTCAGAAAGTCCTGGGTTTGAACAAGAGCCCGCCAGTTGTAATGTATATGTTCCAGTTTCCGAATAAGCCCAATTTACCCAGAGGGACACCGTCCACGCTCCATGATCACACAGTACGCGTCGCAGTGCCTTGATGCCCTGGGGCCCAGAGGTCCGCCGTCCTGAGAAGGGGACTCCATCAGGTCCTGGGGCAGCATCGAGTCGCTTGGCAAGCGATTCCTGAAACTCGTCAAGCTTCAAGTGCCAGCAAATGTGAGGAGGATGTGCGGCCGTAGCTCGTCCAGTGCGTGAGGGCGGCTACGAGCAACTGCGTGAACTTCGCCCCAGTGCTGAGCGAGAAGCTCCCCGCTACGCTGATGATCAAGCACAGGCTGAGCATCATCATCTTGAACCATGCCATGTAGTCTGATGCTTCGATGGGCTGATGCCTATGCCGACCTGACACTATGCAGGTGATTAGCTTTGGATGGTATGATGTGGTCAAGTAGTTGCTCATCGGGCCGGAGGGTGGCGATGTGGTCGTCTAATTCGGTGACCTTGAGCTGGTTCAGGTGGTGGTGGAAAGCTTCCGAGTCGGTCAGCGCGCAGGTGTCGGTGTCAAAGAAGGGGTCTATGGTGGGTTACGCGCGCACGGCCCGCCGTAGCAGCGTAAATGAGACCGAGGGGAAGGCGCGGAGGGCAACCTGACATCATGAGTCCCTGTCCCAAACAGAACTGGCGCCAGTCCGCGCTTTGTCTGCCTTGAGCTGCCTGGCGGCTGCGTGGAGACGATCGCGGACCCCATCAGTGGCGACGAAGGGGTCCTCGCTTGAGTAAATTCCTGGGCCAGGTCCCCTGCCTTTCTATAGACCTGCGCGCAAGAACCTGACAAGTCTATTTTCTGATCGCCAGTGCAACTTTTTCCATGACGGCCAGCTGATCCAAAACACACGTTGCAGATTGAAAAAGGAAGTGGCACGCCTCCCAAGCGCACTGCGCCCTGACCCTCTAGACCTGGCCCTCCAAGGCATGCTCAAGTCCTCGCTAAGGGACCCAGCGCCGTCCATGAGCTCTTGGACGTACTTGGCAAAGGGAGGGTCCGACGTGATCCACCTGGAGAGGATGGCCCGCCTGGGTCGAGAGCTCCACTGGAGGACCAAGAAGGGTACATGGTGAAAAGTGAAAAGGTTCCCTGAGATCAGCGGGCGGTCCAATCACGCCAGATCGCGGGCAGAGGTCTAGCAGCCATGCCGTGGGTAGGGAGGTGTATACGCGATCAAGCCAACATTTGGTCTCCAGCCAAAGCCTTGTACCGCCGTCTTCCCGTGGCGTATGTGGCGTGGTCCTGTGAGTCTCTGCATTTACTCCACCTCCGCGAGCGTGGGGAATTACGAATGGAAGAAGGAACACCACGTGTTGGAGGGGAACGTAAGCGTTCCGTCCATATGAAGGCGTCCTTCAGCAAACTCCGGAACATTGAGGTCTCCCATCAAATAGCCGGGACCCCCAATCGTATTCTGCACGCATCTCCGCGTTTCGTAGAACTGAGATTTCCGCTGGCGGGTTGAGAGCTCAAAACCGCTGTGGATGTTGACAACCTGTAAACAGGACGTGTTGCTGTAGAGTGTGAGTATCTGTATTCGTCCTGGCACTACAGGCACATGGTGGTGATGAGGAAGCCTTTCCCGCAGAAGAGGGTTGACGCAACCACATTGATGAGGATCAGTGCAGAAGGAGCCGATGCCCCAGGCATCAACGATCTCGGACAAGAAAGCGTCAAGCAGAGATGTTGCTCCACGCGTGCCCCGAAGGCAGATCAACGAACCATGTTGCATCGGGTGCTGAAGACTGGCAATCTTGCGGCGGTGTTTTTTGACGAGATTTGAAACCCAAGTATCGACTTGACATTCCAGGAGATTATGCTCAGGGGCTCGGAGGGGTAAAACAGGGCAAGCCAGTCCCAAGTGGATCGTAGTCCATATCCCGGGAAGAAGAAGACCTGGCAGACGACGAAGACGAGGACTGGCCTTCGGGCCCGGAAGGACAGCTGGAAGGAGATGAGGAAGACGTGGACCCCGCACTGGCAGAACGGCTGCTAGGTGACCATGTACCGTTCATGCGCACCACCATGCACATCCGAAGGTGGAGCCAAGGATGATCATACGCCAACACTCCTCCTGGATCCAAGCGTAGGTGCCCGGGAAGGACGAGAGGAAGAAACCATGGGAGCACAGCAAGTGGAGGCCGCCGCATGAAAAGAGGGCGCCATGTGGGAGGATAAGGAGGAGGAGGAGGAGGATAAGGAGGAGGAGGAGGTGGAGGAGGAGAACATGGAGGAGAAGGAGGAGGACGACGAGGAGGAGAAGGAGAAGGAGGACGGTGACGAGGACGAGGAGGAGGAGGAGGAGGAGGAGGAGGAGGAGAAGGAGGAGGAGGAGGAGGAGGAGGAGCCCGTATTTTTATTATTCGCGATAACGCCCATGACCGGCCCCCCACCCCCTGCCTTCCCCTCCCCCTCCCCCACGATTCGCGCCGTCGCCGTGTGGGACTTCGCCATTCATTACCCAGTCCCAGGAGGCGCCGGCGCGAATCGTGACGTGACCGGCCTCCTCCCCCCCTGGGTCACGCCCACGATCGCCAGGAGATAAAACGCTGTTTCCTCGCGCCGCAGCAAGAATCAGGACGGGAGGCTCGTGGCCATCGTCAGGCTCTCGGGGCCCTCGCACGGCCCTGGGACCGTCAAAATACCAACCAGCCCCGGGGAGAGGGCTGGGACTCCCGGGGAGCCCGTGCCGACAAAAGTCAGGCATCGCACGGTGGGGGCCGAAGGTGCCCAAGGGTTAGGTCGGGCATGTCCCCCTACAGGCGGATGTTGGACGAAAAATTTAAAAAAAATCAGAAAATACTCAAACAGAGTCAAACATTGTCCAAAAATCGTCCCCAAACTATTTTTTGAAACTACTTTTGAATATCCCCCCTGTAGAGGGACAGGCCCGACTTAACCCGAGGGTTTACAGCGAGGCACCACGGCCTGACAAGGCCCAGAGGACCCCATGGGCCCCATAGTGAGGCGAAGGGCTAGGGACAGCTCGGGCCAGGGACACCTTCAGCAACCCCCGAGAGGAGAGCTCGGTGAAGGCGCCGAACTGGTCGTCGAAGCAGTATCGGATCCGCTGCGGGTGCTGGGCGCCGCCGTCGTCGTCGTTGTCCCCCTGGCCCGCGCCGTCCACCAGCAGGCAACTCCTCAGGCGGGCGGCCGCGGTCGCGCGCCTGGAGCAGAATCGCCGGGAGGCCTCTGGAGGACCAAGAGCGGCGCAATCAGAAGTTCTTGAGGTCCGCGCGGATGTCTTGGATCGGGGCGCTGGACCCCCAGCCTGGCGCGCGGAGCGCGCCAGGGGCGGCGCCGGAGGCGCCGCCAGGGGGGGCCAACGCCGATCCAAGAAATCTGGGCGGGACTCCGTTATGTTTCTGCAGTTTTTTGCTCTCCGAGCCTCCTCCACCAGCTGGCAAGAGGCGCCGATGTCGTGCGGCAGCGGGCCCACATCCCCAGACCAGCTGTCATGGCCCCGGAAGCCCTTCGCGGCCACGCCGATGACCCGCAGACCGCGCTCGGCGGTGAGATGCCCGCAGGAGGCATCTGCGTACACAGCACTAGCCCGCCGGGCCAGGGCCATCGTGAGGCCAAGGATGGTGTACGCACCGCCCTGGCCGAGGGCACGAGGTCGTATACTTGGGGGAGGAGCACGGCATAACCATGAAAGCTTTCCGCGCTCCGCGCGGATTCCTTGGAGCGGCGCTGGGCCCCCCCTCCCTGGCGCGCGGAGCGCGCCAGCCCTAGAGGCGGCGCCCAAGCGCCGAGCCGAGAAACCCACGCGGACCTCTGAAAATGTATGTTTCTGCCGTCTTTGCTTCTCCGAACGACGGCGTATACACCATGCCAGCGCCCACGATGGCCCCAGCCCGGCATGGCGGTGGTGCACTGTGCAGGTCCCACCTGCGGCAGATACTCTACACACCGGCGCACGCCTTCCCAGTCGAAGTCGTCGCAGCCGAGCACGGCCCTCGCGAAGTCCTCCCCGACCTGCGCGAAATTCACGACCACGTCGCGCTTGTCCTCGGCGGCCCGGGCCGCATCCTCGGGACGGGAATGGCATCATGATCAGATCGGCCCAGGGTGAGTTCCAGGATGCCCAGAGCCTCCAGCGGCCCTCGTTTCTGCAGCCCGTGTGGAACACTAGGGAATCCAGGAGAGCCTGCAAATCTTGGATTACCTCTTGCTCCCCAGAATCCTCGCCGTCCAGCGCTGGGGCAGTGGGCTTCTGCCTCTTGCCGGGGCCGCCTGGCTCCGTCTCCTCGTGCGGCCGCTTGGCGGGCACGGCGGCGGACTCGCAGCTGCAGTTGACGACGGAGGCGAGCCCCGCGTCCAGCAGCGAGTGGATCTGCCGGACCTGCTTCGCTACCCCGGCCACGAGGCCGCCATCCCCCTGCTCCGCCGCCTCGTCGCCGTCGGATGCCACGTCCAACGGCGCCCCGCCGCCCGCCGCGGCGGCCTCAAGCGCCCTCAGCTCCGCCGCGACGGCCGCCGCCACGCTCTCCTCTCACCAGCCTGGAGCTTACCCCTACCCTATCGCCGAGATTGACAAGCCCAGGGACGATGCCAAGTTTAGGGATGAACCCTCAGAAGCCGAGGGGACCTTCACAGGTTGCATCGAAATATGGTGATGCCAATCATACGGGCGCTGTCAAGTTTGCATTCGCCGCAAACCGCAAACCGATATTTGGCGAAGGCGCGGCGCCCAAATGCCCGGGAAGCGAAAATGTGTGTCCGACATGGTTTTCTTGTGGACACGAAACTTATCCGCACTGCACGCTGAGCCAAGCCATCTGTGTGGCATAATTGTCGTCAGTGGGGGATTGGTCGAACCGTTGCCTGCAAACACACATATATATATATATATATACACCTGTAGAAAGCTACACTTCTGGTTTCGGCATCGGCGCCGGGCAGAAAACCAGCGCCGAAACAGAAGCAAACGGATCTGTTGAAATGGCGTAGGGACGTGCCCTAGGCTGGAAATCTGGGGAGACCAAAGGGTACCGATACCGCTACTCCCCGGACCCCTCCCGGGGCGCGTTCTGACCAGGACTTCGAGGCGAATCCGGCGGTGGCGACGAGGGCCTCCCAGGAGGCCCAGACAGGAGAAAACGGGGCGAGGGTAGCGGTAGTACCTTGTCTTCCTCTGAAACCTAGGCTGGTAATCCTCGGACTCCCGCGGGACCGCCGCCCCTTCGGGCGCGGTCTCGCAGTCGATGGCGTCGCCAGCTCCGTGGACGCGGGGCGCCATTTGCTCGGCCGTGGCGGCGCAGGGCCAGCGGGCGGCTGCCGCGGCCGGGGCCCGTCCAACACGGCATTGAGGCAAACACTGACCCAGACATGCTCACGTCGTGCTTTCTCTCCAAATTAAGGATCTGCCATCCAACCTATGTGATTGTAGCCGTAATCGTAGTCGTGGTTGTAGTCGCAATCGTAGTCGTAGTCAACACGCCGTGGACAAAGCCAGGGAGCAGTGTAGGTTGGCGACCCCCGACACGGAGGAATGACTGGACATGCGGGTGCTCAATGGAGAGATCCGGATCGCCAATCACCGAGTGGTGTCGAGGGGCAGCGGTGGAGGCGAGTCCCGACCGACCTGCGAGGCGGGGGAGAAAGGCCACAGGGCTGGAGGCCCGGGAACGGCGGGGATGCCGGAGAGACAGGGGCAGCCGGCAGACGCCCAGGGGGCGGGGGGCACGGCCCAAGGTAAGGGGCAGCGAGGGGGAGGACCAGGTGTCCGTCGACCCCAAGCGGGAAGAGGGGCAGGCGGCAGGCGGGATGCCAGGCGCAGACCACCAGACGGCCAGAGAGACAGAGAGACATCCCCGATGGGGGGGGGCCAGCTGGCAGACCGCCAGGACGGCCAGGAGAGCCCCCAGGCTGGTGGGGATACTTTTTCCGTCGCGGCCGCAAGCGGAAGCGCAGGCGGCGTCCGAAGTCAGCCCGGGCTACGAGCCAAATCTCATTACCGAAGCGCGCGAACTAACGCTGGTGGGGACACTTTTTTTTGTCGCGGCCGCCAGCGAAAGCGCATGGGGCGTCCGAAAAGGTCGAGCGGGCTACTTGCGAGCCTAATTAACAAAACTGACGGGGATACTTTTTTTCCGGTCGCGTCCGCAAGCGAAGGCGCAGGCGGAGTCAGAAGCTGTCCGGGGCGCGGAAACAGGCCTAGTTAGCTACTGGGCGCGCAGCAGGCTGGCCGGGCCAGCTCACAAAGCGGCTGCTGTGCCGCGCGGCGAGGCTGACATGCTGAGGGCATCCAGGGAAGCTCGGGCAACGTGCAGTCTGACAAAATGCCAGAAAATTATATGTACGCCCTGCGGCGTGAACCACTCAGAGAGCGCGAGGACGTACACGTAGAGTCTACGCGCCTCACACGCCTGGAGGTCGCACAGGCGAGGTGAACGATGAACAGTGATGGGGATATTTTTTGTACAGCCGCAGGCGGAAGCGCCAGCGGCGTAAGGTCGCGAACGGGCCGCGGACGCGACTAAATAACCTAACGCGCGCAGGGCCGCGGATCAGGCGGCTCACGACAGCGTCCAGGGAAGACGATGCAGTCCAGGTGCCATAAAAGCCCCTGAACGGGCATGCAGGTGCGTCCAACAGGCCTGAGATAGGCACCGAGACCACCAATCGCAGCCAAAATGGCGCGAAAACGTTCCAACGTCCAAGAGCGAACAAGGGAACGGCCGATGACGCCAGCCCCAGCCTGTCGGGTAACACAGAGGTCGGGGTGTGGGTCCAACGAGGATCCCGACGGCGGCAGCGAGCCGCAGTGATGGGGATACGCGAAGCGTCTAGAATTCGTGTCCATTGTTGGGGAGGGTTCGAAATACCCATCTCGGTTAGCGGTATCGATACCTTCTGGTTTCCCACCGACGGAGGGTTTTGGCCGTCTTCAGCCTCCAGAGGCCCTCGCCGGGCCTGCAGGCCCTCAAAAAACGACTCGGGACGAATAGCTGGTCCCGAGTGGCTCTCTTCGCCCCGGCCGCCTGCCCCTGGACAAAAACGCGTGCGTGTGTATGCGTGCGTGTGCGTGTGCGCGTGTGCGCGTGTGCGCGTGTGCGCGTGTGCGCGTGTGCGCGTGTGCGCGTGTGCGCGTGTGCGCGTGTGCGCGTGTGCGCGTGTGCGCGTGTGCGCGTGTGCGCGTGTGCGCGTGTGCGCGTGTGCGCGTGTGCGCGTGTGCGTGTGCGCGTGTGCGCGTGTGCGCGTGTGCGCGTGTGCGCGTGTGCGCGTGTGCGCGTGTGCGCGTGTGCGCGTGTGCGCGTGTGCGCGTGTGCGCGTGTGCGCGTGTGCGCGTGTGCGCGTGTGCGCGCGTGTGCGCGTGTGCGCGTGTGCGCGTGTGCGCGTGTGCGCGTGTGCGCGTGTGCGCGTGTGCGCGTGTGCGCGTGTGCGCGTGTGCGCGTGTGCGCGTGTGCGCGTGTGCGCGTGTGCGCGTGTGCGCGTGTGCGCGTGTGCGCGTGTGCGCGTGTGCGCGTGTGCGCGTGTGCGCGTGTGCGCGTGTGCGCGTGTGCGCGTGTGCGCGTGTGCGCGTGTGCGCGTGTGCGCGTGTGCGCGTGTGCGCGTGTGCGCGTGTGCGTGTGCGCGTGTGCGCGTGTGCGCGTGTGCGCGTGTGCGCGTGTGCGCGTGTGCGCGTGTGCGCGTGTGCGCGTGTGCGCGTGTGCGCGTGTGCGCGTGTGCGCGTGTGCGCGTGTGCGCGTGTGCGCGTGTGCGCGTGTGGGTGTGTGTGTGTGTGTGGGTGGGGGGGTGGGTGGGTGGGTGTGTGGGTGTGTGGGTGGGTGTGTGTGTGTGGGTGTGTGTGTGGGTGTGTGTGTGTGTGTGTGGTGTGTGCGTGTGCGTGCGTGCGTGCGTGCGTGCGTGCGTGCGTGCGTGCGTGCGTGCGTGCGTGCGTGCGTGCGTGCGTGCGTGCGTGCGTGCGTGCGTGTGTGTGTGCGTGTGGTGTGTGCGTGCGTGTGTGTGTGTGTGTGTGTCTGTGTGTGTGTGTGTCTGTGTGTCTGTGTGTCTGTGTGTCTGTGTGTCTGTGTGTCTGTGTGTCTGTGTGTGTGTGTGTGTGCGTGTGCGTGTGCGCGTGCGTGTGCGTGTGCGTGTGCGTGTGCGTGTGCGCGCGTGCGTGTGCGTGTGTGCGTGTGCCAGCCCCGGAGGCACCTGGGCCGAGGGCCTCCAAGCTCGGACCCACATGCACGTACAGAGGCCCCAGGAGGCCCTCGGGGAGGGGAAGCAGGGAGAACGAGCAGGGAGGAGGAGGAGGAGGAGGAGGAGGAGGAGGAGGAGGAGGCGGAGGAGGCGGAGGAGGAGGAGGAGGAGGACGAGGAGGAGGAGGGGAGGACGAGGAGGAGGAGGGACGAGGAGGAGGAGGAGGACGAGGAGGAGGGGGATGAGGAGGAGGAGGAGGAGGAGGAGGAGGAGGCACCCCAGGTCCTGGAGGCTCGATCTCCTCGACAATCCAGGTCTTCGGGCCTCGATCCTTGAGCCTCGATCCTCGAGCCTGGATCGATCCAAGCGGCGGAGGAGGCGGGAGCGGCGGCCGCCGGCCATGGGCGCCAGGCCGCCCTGCTGCCAGCCGTAGCCCCGGGTCCCTGAGCTCTGCTGGCTGCGTTGCCTGGGGTTCCTGGGGCGAGCCCACTCCCTGCCATCGCTCGGGCGTTCGTTCCCCGTGCATGTTGTTAGGCTTCGTGCGTGCTTGTTGTTGCCAGATGCTCCAGGGCTCCAGGGTGCTCCTTGATGGTCCTCGCGGAGAAAAAACGCACACGTCCGAGCGATGCCAAGACTCCAGGTGAGCATTGCGTTGTGATGCGTGGGCCGCGGCGCGACGAGCCAGGCGCAGGGGGCGGCAGGGCGTGCGGCAGGCCCAGGCGCAGGAGCTGCGTGCGTGCGGCCTTCTGGCCCCTGCCGTGGGGCAGCGGCGAGCTGCAGATGCGCTCGGCACGGGCAGGCGCGCCGCGCGGCGGGCGGGCGGGGGCCCGTCGACGGCGAGGCGAGGGGGCTGGCCGAGCAGCGGGCGTTCGAGAGCCCTCCTGCCATCGCTGGCGGTCGGCGATCAGAGGAGCCACGAGATGCCACGAGAGATGCCACGGCGACCAGGCGCGGTGGCTTCCGCGGGCCGCCCGCGCGGCACGCCACACTGGAGGCGAGGGCGCTATGCGCGCGACCTTACGCGGGGCGCGCCAGCGTCGGCGCAGACGGCTCCGTTTTTTTTGCGTCGCCCGGGTGTCAAATCAGGTCCTTCCCCCTCCTCCTCCTCCTCAATCTCCTCCTCCTCCTCCTCCTCCTCCTCCTCCTCCTCCTCCTCCTCCTCCTCGTACTTCCGACCCCTCCTGGAGCACGCTCCGACTTGGACTTCCAGGCGAATCCAGCCGTGGCAACAAGGGTCCCCCTGGGGGCCCAAAAAGGAAGAAAAGCACAAGCATCCCCCATAGCAGTACGGTCGGAAACTTCTGCTTAGCGTGTCGCGGCAGCGGCAGCGGATAGCATGTCGCTCCACATTTCTGGGGCGGAAGGCTGGGAAAGGCTTGGGACGTGAACGTTTGGGCATGGGGACGTGGTTATCGTGCCGCGCCGAGTCGTGGCCAGAACCAGCGGAGCGCCACGCTAAGCTAAAGTTCATGACCGTATCCCCCTCCTTCCTCCTCCTCCTCCCCCTCCCCCTCCTCCTCCTCCTCCTCCTCCTCCTCCTCCTCCTCCGCCTCCTCCTCCTCCTCCTCCTCCTGCCTGCTCGTTCTCCCTGCTTTCCCTCCCCGAGGGCCTCCTGGGGCCTCTGTACGTGCATGTGGGTCCGAGCTTGGAGGCCCTGGCCCCAGGTGCCTCCTGGGCTGGCACACACACAGACAACCGGTGTCGTGATTTTCACACGTCGACCCCCAGAGAGGTCTCGACCCCTTCACAGGGACGGGATTTTCGTCCCGAGCCATTTTTTGACGGCCCCTGGGCCCGGCGAGGGCCCCTAGAGCCCTAAAATAGCGCCGAGCCTCCCGTCGTGATTTTGTTCACAGCGCAAGGGGTTCTGGGCACACACGTACACATTCACACACAAACACACACACACTTACACTTACACTTACACTTACACTTACACTTACACTTACACTTACACTTACACTTACACTTACACTTACACTTACACTTACACTTACACTTACACTTACACTTACACACAAACACACACACAAACACACAAACACACACAAACACACACACACAAACACACACACACACACACACACGCACACGCACACGCACACGCACACGCACACGCACACGCACACGCACGCACGCACGCACGCACTCGCGTACGCCCGCCCGCCCGCACGCACGCACGCACATGCGCACACACACACACACACACACACACACGCACACACACA